AGCCTCAACTTGTCAACTTGCCAAAAATGAAGAGAATTTGAGTGATCTGGTCCCACAGGAAAGCTCATTATTGCATTAATCCAGGATCATACAGTGTAGCTCCACTGATATCCACAGAACTAGAGCATTTCTTCTTCCCTCTGCTTCTAGTTTTCAGCTGGGAGACCTCTGAGCACTAAGTGAAAAGGTTGATGCATACTTACACCATGTGCTTTTTTATTTTTCTTTTTAATTAGCCAGCACCCCATGTTTGGCCAAAGCTGTTTTTTTAGTATGATATGATACAGTTAGTGTCACATATAAAGTATATGTGGAAATGACAGAAAGAGGAGCTACAACTTATTCCTTGCAGCTGTATGAATTCCTGGAGTCCCAGGCATGTTGCTGGTGAGGGCTGCCAAGAGACCCTTAGGTTGTATCCCTAAAGAAGCCCTACTCAAAACAGGGAGGCTCAGTGAAGAGGGATCTTTAGCTGCCAGAGGCCGTTACCCACATTGCATAAAATCCAACTCTTGTGCTTCTGTACTATGGTAACTTGGTCCTTTTATACTAAAAAAGAAGAGTAACTTTACTGTTTTTTAATGTATGGTATTGCATTATTTCCTCAAACAATTGTGGAATGATCAGAAATTGGAAAAAATTAACTGTATTTCGTGTCATATGCCATGGTTAGCACTGTACATGGGTCTTCTCAGAAATTACTTCAACTAGAGTAACAGGTAAGTAGCTTGCTTATGCATAATCATAGCACAACCTCACAAAAGTACAAGGAAAGAAAGCACTTCACTTTTCTTGGTGAATTAAAAACAATTCATCACTGAGCAATGGCATTTCTTGAATGGATTGCTGAAGGTGAAAATAGCCAAAGCACATGCTCAATTTCTGAATAAGCTTTTACACAGGTGAACTAGGAATAAATAAATTGTTTTGGCTTGCTATGGTAAGGTTACTACATGTTAAAACTGGATCTGTGCAAAAGTGAAGGTTCTAGTTTTGGGGTGCTGGGATGCATGGGAAGATGTGCTGGTTCTTGCAGATTTTTCAAGCTGGAGGGTTATAGAGGACAGCAGCAGAGCAGGTGACATCAGGAACTGTACAGGACTTCCCCTTTCCTGAGAACTTGTGAACCTGTATGTAGGGATTGAAGGAGTCAAAGACTGGGTCCTGAGTATTATCCAAGTATGTAACTCACACTGATTCTGACAGCTTAGGCACTCTGAGTGTGGGCCTCGGCTGTCAAGAGAGGTACGAAGTGCAGGCAGTGTGCACAGCTGGACCTCTCTACTTGCTAACTTGCTTGCCACTTGGTTTCATACTAATGCTGCACTGAGCTCTGCAGATGCTGAGATGCTACTTTATCAAGTGCAGATGAACATTACATGTGGTAACATTAGGTATTTAGAGGTGGGGGTTAGATCTTTGGCAGCTGAGGATTTGTCAGTGGATTTTACAGTAAGGTTTAGGTTTTAAACAAAACTTGAGGCTCATATTGAAAGGCAAAGTACCTTACAGGTACTTTGTCATAGGTGTAAACTTTGCTCAGCCTTGACATGAGCCAGATACAGTCCAGAGGACGTAATTTTTTCATCTGTCATGAGGCAAAAGCCTTGCCTGGAGTTTTACAAGGGAAGTTTTGCCCAGGTCTGTGTAAATCTTTCCATAACAATTCTTTCTAGATGCTAAAATAAGTTGTTTATTCTCGCATGAGTGTTTATCCCTAGGAAAGTATTAAATCTGTATCTTCATGTCTTAAAGACATGAAAGTGTGTTAACCAAGAGCTGGTGGTGGTAATTCTATGGGAGCTGAATGCTCAGAAAAGACTGCTGTGGGGAAGTTACCAGACCAACTGCATTAACAATTGCCAATGTGACACAAACATGCAGGGAGCATGATAAACACACTCTGTAAATATGCCAAATGCTCAAAACATGAAAGTGTCTGGAGCTACAGGAATATATGCAGAGACACATCAGTCATATCTGCATACAGTCGCCCTACAGAATGAAGTGCAAACATAGGCAATGACCTGAGACCACATCAGTTGGGATCAAACCTTGCTCCTGTTGTACAAGAAAAGTAGCACTTTCCTGATGAGTATGCTGGTTTTTTCAGCTTTAAATATTTGCAGGGGGGTGAGCTATTCCATGTGCATAAAGGTAGCTGATGCTGGCCAACAGCTTCTTTCTCTGTTAGCGGCTGCCTGTAAGATTTCAAATGTGACGTTGTTGCCTCTGATGGCTGTGGGGGCCCTGAAGAAGGTGGTGTGCACTAGGCAAAGGCGGCAGAGGGGCAATTCTTAAGCAGTTCAGTTGAATAAAAATGTGGTCGTTAACCAAGAGCGAAGAGAAAGAGCAAGTTCAGGCTATAACACACAGACTGATTTTTTTTTTTTTTTTTTTTTTTTTTTTTTTTAAGGCTCTAATGTTCTGATTGAACAGTAAAGTACGTGCTGATGTTAGCTCATGCGTTCTGTTATGGGGCTATAAGCAAGGATTGGAATGAGTTATATGAGAAAGACTTACACATGTAGATACAAAGGGCTACTTTGTGCTACTGACTGAGGTGCTTCCCCGCTTACAAGTGGAAAGCAGAAAAGCTGCAGTAGTAGCTGGATATGACTGGAATGGTTATTATCATTCCTAGAGTTCTTCTTTCTGTTTTACAGAAGGATTTTGTATTGCAACCACAACACAAAACCACAGCGGTTCCTAGATGTTAGGCACTCTTCTGGAGTGATTCCATTGGTACTGCTATCAATTTTACTTCTCCAACATATTTTAGGGATTTGCTTTAGCTTTAGATTAGTACAGCAAGGATCTACATCCATTCAAGGCATGTATAATGAAAACCAGCAGAGCTGGGTATTTTTCATAGTTTATAATTCTGATTTCTGGTGTTGCCTAATGAATGTACTGCTTTAAAAGCAGTTCTGTATAGATGGACAATAAAAACTTTAACAAAATTATAACCAGCTTCTTACTCTACCTGAAGATAGATATGTAAGAAAAACATGGCAACAGAAATCTAACCATGCCACAACTGTCCCCTGTAACAAGGGCTAATTGTACCTTTCCCTAAGGAAATACTAAAATTGTTGGGGGAAAATTGACAATTGATAAGATTGCTAAATTACTTATTTGTAAAGTCAATGTCGGTGGGAAGAGTGAGTTGGTTTTACAGAATTTTTTTGTCCTTGGAACAATTTAGCAAAGGAAAGATTTGAAAGAAAGAGAAACATTGTGACTGACACTACAGAAAGTTAAGGGACAAATATTCCCTACCCAAGTCTAGCAGATGACAAATGGGAAGTGGGAAATGAAGGGAAAAGGCAGGAGGATAGTGGCAGACCCTTTGTAAACATATCAGTTGGTGTGACAGCTCTTCAGTGGAGCCTCTTGGCTCCCTCTGTGTCTCTACATTTAAGATGCTAGAAGCAGATAGCTGTGCAAAATCCAGGCCTGATACAAAGAGATATTTTGAAGATGGAGGGAGCAGGGACTGAAGCTGTATATTTAGTTGGTGTGTACATTTTAAAAGCCTTGGGACAACATCATTAAGGGGTCACCTAAGATTAAAATCAACTTATTTTCAACAAATTATTTCAACTTCTAATCAACAAATTATGTGGTATGGGAGTACCAGATGGAGTGTCCCACAGGCTGTGACATAACTTGTACAGCAAGGTAACCCTTTGCTGTTTCTAGTGTGAACAGCACCGCACATATATTTGATAACACATTAGCCAAGCCTTCCCCTTAATAATACCAGAAAATGGTAGTAGTCCCTATAGGAGTGCTGCACAGAGGGGGACGTACCTCCATGGGGATGTCTCCAATTTACAGCAGCGGACAAGAAATAGGAGAGAAACAAGAAAAATACCTTCCTTTCAGACTATTTTCCATCTTGATTCAGCTCAATGTGGAGTGATAGGCTAAGTTTAACAAAGGTGGTAACGGTCTCCCTGGCTACAGCAGCTCTATGTAAGCAAACATTTCCAGTTAGAAGCCTACACTAACTTAGCTGCAGTGTTGCTTAAACCAGAACACTTTATCTCTACTCTGTTAAGTTGAATGTTGGATATTGGCACATGCTGGTATTTGCTCTGTGGTGTGTCATCTCCTGCAGCTTCACAGGAAACAGCAAAACAAACTTCCCTGTTGCCCTTAGGAGGAACTAGACACATGGAAAAAACGATCAGCTGGAAGTGTAGCTGAAGAGGCAGACTGAGTAGTATCATAGAGAGGGCAGCTCTGACAGTGCCATTTTTCTTCAAGCAATACTCCACAAGAGCAATGAAAGGACGAATAGTCTGTGCTTGGTTCACCAGTTTTAGACTTGGGATACTTTAATAGTCACTTATTAGCTACCCCAAATGTGACCAGACTTCAAAGGCTCCGCTGAGAGCGAAATAAATTTCCACTTTCTCTAGTGAGTGAGGCATATTAGTAACTACAATTACTAGAATAACCTTCATTTGGCTTTCTTCTCTCATGCTAATTTCAGAAGAGAAAAAAGTTACCCTAAACAACTGTCAGCTTTTTACTTGTCCTACAGCCCCACCTTTTCCCTGCCTTCTATTTATTTCTTTTTTTAAAGTTACACAGGTTTACTGGCCTGGTTTGACATCCAGAAGAGAGTTGTGTTCACAGCCAATTGTAAGCGTGGAAGTTCTGCTTCAGTTTATTGTGGCTCCCACTGTTGCAAATTTGAATTAAAATGAAAGCTACTGAAATGTATCAGCCCCTTAGGTTACCAGCCTGATTTACTGGCAGTTTCTGGGTTCTGGGGCCATTTCAGACCATGCTGGACATACTCATGCTTTGCCTCCTTTGCTAGTGTGAGTGAGGGGGACACAGTCTCAAGCAGATAGAAGATATACATCGACAAGCTCATTGTTACTTAATGTACCACCAACAAATAGGCAATTAATGAACCCCAAGTACTTCTTTGCTGTATACCTTTGATGTCTTCCCCCCTTTGCAACAGAGCACAGATAGGTTTAAATGATGATATCATAAACTCGTCCCACTCTTCCCAGCCATTCCCGTACTGCCTGGCGGACACGGATATCTGTCACATGGCAGGTCAGCTGGCTGATACAGGGGAACACCGCTGGCTGCAGGGCTGTGAAAGTTTGGTCTGGCAGGGCCTGAATCTGGTTGAGAACTGTCAGCACCATGTTGGTCCATGCCTACAAACAAATTGGATACAAAAAAAGACTCTTTAGAAGACCTTTCTAAATAGGTGAGCCCAATTGGTTGAGGCAGAAAATAAGGTATCTGGTGGTTGTGGCTTCATGAAAAAGGACTGAGTAATACCAGCATATTCATTTAATGTTTACTGTGTCTTCCTAATTCACATTCAGTACTGTAAGTCATTGTTTGGTTTTGTATTGCAGGTATCGTGCTCATCATTCATCACCTTTTATTTCATCCCACAGTGAACAAAGTTTGAGGCTTTCACGGATTTGCTCACGTGGACACGCAAGCAGCGAGTTTCTGTTTAGCAATGGAGCCTGCTATTTCTGCTGTGGAATTAGCAAAACCCCTTGTTAAGTACCAAAGCATTGTAACAGGCAGCATGACATTTTCAAAAGCATTAAGTGGGCTAGAGCCCTTAGCAGTAAGCAATGGGTTCACTGTAGGCTGCTAGTTCCTAAGACTAAGTGCAGCTTTGGCCCCAGTCACAGAAGCACTCTTGAAAGCTGTACTAGTGTATGTCTGATAACACTTCCCTGAAGACTGATTTTCTTTGGATAAAACAGAATCAGGTTTTTATCAGTGCCAGCTTCTGAATATTCAGTCCTCATCATGACAACTTCTTTAAGTAATGAAGACATTTAATGAAGAGATTATAATAAGCAAAGTATAGAAAAAAAATAGGTATCTTTTTAATTATTGCTATTATTGCTGGCAGTCCACAGGCATGTCCTACCTGTATCTGGGCCTCGGCATCCCTAACAGATATATTCAGGGAGCTGACTGTGGATCCTGAGCGTGGTCTCTTCTCTTGTCTCAGGATCTCTGGACCAGCACTGAATGAATGCCTCATTTGCCCTTGATCTATAAGATGTTGTGGCCGCTGGAGTATGGGTGAGTCTGGCCCTCTTGAACTGAGAAGCTCCCCTTTCTTTTCCACTTTGACCTCTTTGGTGAAGGATGTCATGGCCTGTTGCTGCTTTCTTTTCTTGTATTCTGTCATGAGCTTGGAGATAGTTTTGTCAGCGGCTATGGTGTAGATCTTGTTGCCAGCACTCTCCCACCATTCTTTTTTCCTGGTTTGCTCTTTTTTCTCTGGTTTAGGACTTAGGGGTGGGGGTAGCAGCAGTATTTCTCCACTCCCTCCTCGGGGTGTCAGGCTGTCTCCCAGTTGATCCCTGATTTGACTCCGGTCATCTTCCGATGGTGTGTCCTTCCCAGACTGCCCTCCAGTCGACGGGGTGGAGGTTTCTGAGTGAAAGGATGGTAAAATGAAGAAAGGGTCGCCTCTGAATGATGGAGGCTCCTCTACATTATTCTCCAAGTCCAAATGCATCTGGATATAGTTGTTGCACAGTTCCATGCAGAGCTTATGAAGCCGCTTGATAAGCCATCCCCAGTCTGCATTGCTGACAGGCTGTACACTCAGAGATGGTATTCGAGCCCTCCACTGTCTCTTCTCCTTCCCTCGTGGGGGACTGACCTGGGCAGTTTCTTCAAAAATGTCTTCATCTTCTGAAGAACACTGCTGTGATGAGTCTGTGCTTCTCTCATCATCTTCAAAGAGGATCTTTTTCACTTGCTCTGCAGTGATGTTCTCCTGGTTTGTCAGGATTGCACAAATCAAAGCATGGAAGTAGATGTTGAAGCTCATTGCTGACTGGCGATACAAGTTGGCAGCTCCGCTAATGCCAGAAACTTTCTTCAGCAAACATTTCAACCCAGGTCTGGTGTCAAACTCTCTGGCTGTTCTATAGGAGTCCAGCAGTAAGTCAAAGATGACAGCCAGGTTTTGCATGGAGATGTACCTGAGAAAACCAGCCAACTTGTTTTCTGGTACTTGTATTGTCATTTTCTCCTCCAAGTTAGAGGGGCCTTTCACAAATTCTTCCAGTAAGATGTCATATAAATTCTGGAGCAATACTTGGTGGGACAGCAAACTCACCACTATTGTCCTGAAAGGAATACTTGGTAAACCAAGCATGGGAAGGAAAAAATTAAAATTAAAATGGTGCATTGTGCTTTTACAGGAATACTTCATGGTTTAGAATCTAATGTGAAAGGCCAAATTTTCACAGCTTTGTTACAAAAAAGTAGAGGAAGATAAAGGTGTCTTTCAGGTATTCTTTCAAACACTGTCCTAGAAAGGAAGACACTTATCCTAGTTAAGAAAAATAACCACCTATAGCAAGCATGCTAATGACACTTGTTGCAGAGATGGTATTAAAACAAAGCTCTCTTATAATTTTTGTGCTTTTCTCCAGAGATGTCCAACTGAGGGATTAAATATTCTGTGTTTCAATTTCATGGCAGCTGCAAGTTCTTTCAACATTTTAGCTTGCTATAACTCAGGAATTTGTTAACAAAGTTATTCCTCCATTGGTATTTCAGCCAACCTTAACTTTGCCATGACAAATGGAGGCTAAAACTAGTTTGATACTTGGTTTCCATTTCCGTTAATGCCAGGAGTACTACTTAAAAATAAAACATGGAGAACCAACCAACCAACAAAAAACATCTACAGAAACAGCAGCAGTGCAATGGAGCATGCAAGAAAGCTTTAGTCTTGCTGAAGGCACATTTCACTCTTTGCTCTTAAGACTTCAACTTGAACACTGAAAGCCTAGCATGGAAACACCTATTCCTAACCCTGTTTCTCACGTATAGTCCTGGGTGATTCTTAGCTGTGCTCCTGTTACAGATGCTGTGAGTTGTTCTAGATCTCATTGATTTTTTAATTGAAGCCAAGAATGGCAAATTCCTCCCACCAAAGTTTTCAGGTCATTCACCAGTAAACAACATTGAAAGGCCTACAGGCAAGGGGGCTAAGAAGAAATGGTGGACAGGATTGTTGTTGTCTGGTATCTCATGGATTTAAAATTATAAACTATCTTATAGATTATGAAACCTGTCTTAAGGCTTTTAAGAAAGAGCCTTTGAGTAAGATTACAGTGGTGATGTTTTAATTGGAGCTGACACTGTGTTCACACATAGTAATACTTGTTTTGATTTAGGGAACTATGCTGGGTCACATTTTAATTAGCAGTGCTATCAAGGAGAAAAATTTTTCAGTTTGCTTGCAATACTGAAGTTTTAGGTCTAAGTCAAAGTAAATTCATGTAACATGAGACGTTCAGTTGTAGACCTTTAAATTCTTTTGTTGCAAAAATTATTCTACTTTCATTAAACAACTTTCAAAAGTGTTTCAAAAATACAAAACCAAAAAGTCTCTCTTTTTTTTTTTTTTTTTTGAGAGATCATAGCAAAACTAAGTTTAGAGAATGCAACATTTAAAAAAAAAAACAAGTTCAGACAAAACTGTGCTGCTTGGGTTGATTTATCTGTGTCAGTTTGCTTACCATGACACAGCTGTCACTGCTGATATATTAGTAGAATTTAGTAGCCTTATTATCTGACCATGCTAAAATCTTGATGATTAATATACACATTGGAGCTTTTTATGGGGAAGTTGTTTTCTGCTGTAAAAATCATTAGAGACTCTGACTCAGAAAAGCTCTTAGGAGCATATATAAAGTTAAATGAGTGCTTGCATTGATTTCAGGAGACTAATCCTGTTCCAAAAGCAGGATCAGAATAAAGGAGATCTGATTTCCTTGTAAAAGCCAAAAAGGCAAGTTACAAGGACAGTTTGAAGTCCTGCTCAATCCCAAAAGAAATTAGTACAGAACTATAGTCGAAAACACACAATGCCAAATCTGGTTAAGGACAGGATTTTCTTATTCTGCCCAAAGTTTCAAACTGAAATATATTATTACTTTTTAGGAAGAAGAAAAGCTCCCTTACCCCAGCTTCCTGTGAAACGATGCAGCATTAAGGAAACAAAAGCAAAAAGGGAGAAGAGAAACCCCACTAAGGTTAAAGCAAAACTTTTGAAAGGCCACAGTTACTAGCATGCAAGACTGGATATTACTGCACTGCTGTAGCAAATAATATGAAAAACAGTGGCACAGTCAACTTTTGAGCTCTGTTTTGGTGAAAAATGAGTGTTGCTGGGGTAACATTTGCCCATTGGCATATACACTTTTTGCAGTTGTTTAGACAAAGCACAGTGTGAGTGCATTCAGAGTTTGTATTAATTGCAAGCTTTCTTTATTTGTTTAAAGACAAGCAAGACCCATGCTACCTTTACAAACATAGCCTCTTAGATTTGCATGGCCTTATGTGGCATGAGAGGGGTGTACTCCAATCTTGCTTTGCATCATTATAACAAGAATGATCTGCAAACCTTTGGATAAAGCAGGTATTTTCCTGCCACAAGGGAAGGGTTTAGACTGTGATCTCAACCTTTCTTTGTGCAGGGCCTTGTTCTCCAAAGGTTAGGGAACAGAGCACCTGCTCTTGGGGGAAACTTCTGTATGGCTGTGTAAGAATACAGACATCTTCCATGGTCTTTCTTTCCATCCATCACATTCTGGCTCCTTGTTTAAAGCAATGGTTTAGTTTTGAATGAGAATGCCTGAAGTGGTACAGAAGCGGTACTAGATGCCACTAGTATCTAGTAAAAGACAATTGGTATCTAGTAAAAGACAATTTCATGCCATGTATTACATACCTTGCAATACAAACACAAACCCTGAATGCAGAATTCTAATTCTGTCCCTATTGAAGTTACAGCAGTTGTTTAAACAACTGAGTGCAAGCAAAAAGAAATATTCTTTGACAGGATCTGATTGTCATGCAAATGCATGAGTTTCTGAGGTGGTAATATATAGAAGGACTCACGCAAAAATAAAGTGACAAGCAAAACCAATGTTCCCTAGATCAATATGTTGACAGTTTTGCAGCTTTGGATGTGATTTCTTCAATTTACACTTCTCCAGTTTATACATTAATGTTTTCTAGCTTCTTCATCCAGTAATACTGACTTTAAAAGACCATTAGTGAAGCAGACATTATTTCATTTGCTAGGTATCATTACAAATATAACAGTACTTTCACTGCTTTCTTCAAACAGAAATTTTTAACTCTACTTGTTAAAGAAAAGAATCTCAATAATGGAAAGATTTTCCTAGTGTTTCCTATGAGAATTCTTTTCTTAATTTAACCTGCATTTCCTCTACTTGAAGGCTTTGCGTGACCTTATGTATCCTTCAGGTATTTGTAACCTACCAATTTTTACTATCTATTAGAAGCATTTTCTTACTTAAGTTTCTAAGGGACACGTTATAGACCCTAACTCAGGCTCATCTGTAACTATAACAGCTCTTGCACATACCTGCTCACCAGTATATGGTGATGGGAACATTTGGAGTAGTAACCTATTGTCTCGTTTCTCACAAAACCTAATTTTTGTTTGGTGCATTTAATTTTTTTATGAGACCTGTGGAGAGGCAGTTTGCCACATCTCTGCCAGTCTTTTTATCTTGCTTTTAGTGACACAGCCTTTTCCTAATACGATATTTTACCTTCTCTGGGTATGCCCATTTGGTTTCTTATCTGGTGGCAGGTCAATGATGAGCACGCACGACTGGGCATGTTCAAACCCTTCCTTGTTGCTAGGGGTCTTCGGGGAGCACTGAGTCTCCAGCATGAAGACCTAGAAAACAACAAGTTACATGAACAGTTTAGCATTTTCACTGGGTCCCTGGAGGAGAAGGGCTGAGAATAGGATTTCCTGCATTGTGAAAGATCTGTTACGATAACTTATTTTACAATGATGGAGAAAACGCAAGGTATCACTCCAGCAGACCTTATGTGGAGCATGCTGCTTTGGTAAAACAGCCTCAGAGCCTACCTCCAGACACCCAGCAGAGCACAGGGCAAAAGGCAGACATCTTTTACTTTCAACTTCTATAAGGCATAATACCAAATACTAAAACAAGCTTTCTGCTGTCTGTATGCTACTATCAGAAAATACCATGTATAGTGGAGACAAGGACCTGTTTGCATAGTTGTACCTAGAAAGATTTGTTGGAAGGCTTGTTTTAAGCCGTGGAGTTAAAACAGACACCCAACTTGCAATTCTTTGGGTGAGAAACGGGAAAGAAACCTCTCAGTTGCTGCAGCTTTGTTTTGTAGCTTATGAGTTGTATTAAATCCTCACTAAGAAGGCCTCAGGGACTGCCATGGATAGTGACTACAAGAAAAGCATATATGCGACATTCCCCACTTTCTTGACTTTTGCATCTTTAAAACTTAAAACACTTTTTCCATTCAAACAAAAAGTCTGTCACTGCCACATTATTACAGGATCAGAAATCCTGGTCTGTATCAGCTTTTCAAGCAGCATCAGGATATGATTAATCAAGTCAGAAACTGACACCTAACAGCTGTTGGCTCTTTTAATTCAGCTGCTTTCCCATGCTGAAACTGTCATACAATATTCACAGTTTCATGGTACCCTGCAGGTCATTAAGTTGTCTGCTGTATTTCAAGAAACTTGTTTCATATTACCACATTCATAAAGTGAACAACCTCCACTGCAGTCAAAAGGACCCGAGAAGGTTGTCTCCAAGCTTGCTCTGCTGATTAGGAGTTAGTGGTGAGTGTTAAACCACTCGTTAAATGTCAGCATTATCCTCTAGTTCTCAGAAAATCTCTTCATTCTCCGCAATCTATACCAGTGATTTATAGAGAAAATTCCTCTTCAAACTCACCTCTGATAGTTTGAACAAATACTGTTTTTCTAGTTTCATATGACAGTCTCTGTTCTAGTGCATTTGTTGTCCTTTGAATTTATCATTCTTTAACAGAGTAGTCAGAAATGTATATGATATTCTAGATGAGGATTCATAGTGAAACTACTATTTCCATTTCTCCATCAGAAATGTTTGGACTGATGTATGCTAGGGTTCCTTGTTCTAAAACCACATTACATAATAGGTTCATTGTCAGTCCTCCTCAGGTACCTAGGCATCTTTCCCCACCCTAGGCATTCCTAATTCCTACTTACTTTTTCTCAGTACTACTGTTAGACAAATAAATGTTAGGTGATGAGGAAGTCTTTGCCCGTAGGGTTTGTGAGGAAGGTGGTTGTAAAGATGTACTTTCATAAAGAAAAGCTCAGAGTTTAAAAGATTTTTCAACTTCCCCTGAAACATCAGTCAGTACCTGTTGTGCCATGGCTCTGATTCTCCAGTATTCAGCTTCAGCACTTGGCGAGAGGCAAGGGGCTGCCACCTTCACTTCACAGGCATCTCCACTAAAGCTTTCAGAACCACTGTGGAAATAGCCCAACAGGTTCTATAGAGAGACACAACATCAGACTTTCACTGTGCGTTAAACAAAGTTAGTGGCTGCAGCATTGTCCAATCTCTTTGTGTGTCATACAAGATTCAGAGTGATCTACCCCATTACCATCAGCAATACAACTTCTTATGTGATCCAGCCTGTGGTGACCTGACAGGATTTTTTGGTTACAAGAAAGATAGTGAGCTAAGAAATAATCTATATGGAGAATGCAGCTACTGGATCAAGTGAGCAAAGTGAGTTAAGAAATAATCCATATGGAGAATGCAGCTACTGGATCAAGTGAGCAACTTTGTCTTCTGTCTAGTTTTAGCCAGGCCAGAGGAAGAAATGGATCAAACAGTAAGTTTACACCTTCTGATTTCATACTGGCAAGGAAACTTAAAATCAAGTGTGGACTGTTAGCAACTAGTGTTGTCTGTATACATTTAGAAAAACTGATTACAATCTCCATTGTTGATACAACACCTTTCATTGTGAACTGGCAAAATAACAGAAGCTACCACATAATCCTTAAGTTTCTTTTCCTGGCTTTATACCAAAAAATTTTTCTGAAAAAGAAAAAGCAACCTGTCCAAAGTTAGCGACTAGTGTGATTATGTTTTGACTGTCAGAATAAAAGGCGGTTTTACCTTTACTGGCTCCAGAGTGGCAGAGAATGCATCTTGCAAGGCACAACATGCAAGCCTCCACATCTCTTCAGTAAAAACAGGCCCTGCTGTCACTAACACATACCTGCAAAGATAAGATAAAACATTACCATGTTCAAGAAAGAGCTAGACAATTCTTACGTGTAATGGGAGAAGGTTGAAAATAGCACAAAAGGCTTACTTGGTAACTAGCTACTGATATTCAACTTCCCCAGCTGTTACTCTGACCTATTTTTGTAATTACACTGTAGTTTTGAGGGTATTTTTTCCTTTGCTTTTCCTCTTTAAGTAGTCATCCTGCCCGGACAAGAACCGCACATTGTGTAACTATATAATGCAGTGCTTATTTTGATTATGACTGTAAGAACCTGGAGACTGTGAAAGGTATTAATTACCTCTAAAGACCTGTGAATTCCAACAGAAAGACCCTTGATTATTTTTCCTAGGCATTAATTATTGACTAACTTCATATATGTAATGTATAAGTGCTTTTTATGGGAATCGTACACATACTAATGCCTAAAATCACAGGTTCTGAAAACAGCAGGAAAAGGTTAGTAAGTCTAAAATTTATTATTCAAATAACAAGCGATAGATGTCTAACATCTCGAAAGAAGCCTACAATACAACTTAATCTATGAGTTCTTCAAATATATAAAGAAAGACATCCTGTTTCGAATATGCTAACAGAGCGAACAGACTGTGTGTACCTGATACAAGAGCAGCCAACTCTGGAAATAATTTCTGTTGGTTCTGCTACACAGGCTACCAGCAACTTGAAAAGATCTTTCAGCATAGTATTAATCATATTTTCATAACCGATATCTACAAGGAAAAGATATAGACTGGTTTTAATATCATTGCCTTTTCATTGTAATTTAACAGTCTTGCTACACTTACTGCTATTTAGAGACTTTGCAAACCCAAATTCTTTTCATGCAGCTATCACTAGAGTTCTATTTTGAACTATGCATCACATCAAACCGAAATAAGAACAATCCTTTTGATATTAACATTATAAAATATCTGGACTTAAGTGGTACTGGAGAAATTCAGTTAGAGCCTGTTTCTGATATTCTAGTTCTTTATGGTCAAAGTCTTAGAATCTTCTTTTGGAAAGTATGATGTAGACTGTGATGACTTAATTTTGAAGATAGCCCAGCTCTGAGCAGGAAGCTGGACTAAATAACTTCCATAGGTCCCTTATAAGTTTGGGGGTTTTTTTGCCACAATTCTAAACCCTTTAAAGAAATTAAACTCCCCAACCCAAACAAAGAGAAATTTTCAACCCTTCTCCTCTTATTTTATGCTTAAGCAACCAAAAAGCAATGAAACCATCTCCCCAAGTAACATGCCACTGATGTCTATCAGTAGATGTGACAATACAATGACATACCTGAGTGTATGAAATTTTGAATGTGTTCCACTACAAGTTCACAGGAAAGGCCAATGGCATGCTTGAAATTAGCAGATGCTACATCCCAGTAAGAATGGTCACCATGGCTGCGATGGAGCCAAAGAGACATCGTGGGAAGAAGAAGATGTACAACTGCATAAATGCCAAATCCTGGTCCTTAAAAGAAACATAATGGTGGTGGTTTATTTTTTGCTTACAAAGCCTATATGCACAGTAAATTTGGTAAGTTCTTCCAAGCTTGAGGCCAGGGGTGATTCTAAAGAAAGCAGGTTCTGAAACTTTTTTTGTGGGATGAGAGGGGTAAGCTGTATTAGATCTAGTGGTGAGGTAGTATATGAACACTTAGCCAACTGTTTACCTGCTTCTTTTTCTATTTCCTGGAAACCAGGCAGACATTTTGCATGGCTAGGAAATTGATAGAGTACTCCACCTCTTTATTTGGGCAACAGAGTGTGTTTAACATACTCTTACAAGATGCCTTTTGTCAACAAAGAACAATGTACTAACTGGGTCGTGCTCTAAGAAAATCCCTTTCCACTAGAGAATGTCTCTGTGCAGCTTTAGCATGAGTAACACACTTTACAGAATTGGTTTAGGATTCTAAGAGGTTTGGGTAAGGGCTCTACTGGCCTGTATTTAATCAAGCTCTTTCATTACCAGGTGTTTTGGCAACATCCCTCAGCAATTCAAAGAGCAGATCCAGAGTAGGAGGCTGGTGCTGACGGGGACAATTGGATATGGCAGTTGTTAATTCTTCTAGCAGAATAATCCAGACATTGATAAGGCCTACAAGTAAGGAAACAGATTAAAAACCATGAGTGAGATACTGCATCGACCACAGGTGGACCTTGCTCTCAGACAGTGATGAAGGCTAAGAAATTAATTAACTTAAAGATCACAGGTTCTTGCATGTTCACTGTTGCTGTGTAATGGCTGTGGACAACAGCAATTCTGAAATGAATGCCTGCTTTTCCTTCCCTTTTTATTAAGTTTGTGTTTATTTTGTTCCATCCTGCCTCCTCCACATATACCTTGTTCTGGTTGTCTTTCTTAGTTTACTAATCCTGCTAGTCCAGCCTCCTTAATCTTGGGTGGGGTTTTTTCATTTTTTCTTTTTTAATGGGAGGTTTTCACACCTCATGAGCATTGCAAATGCTGCCCAGAATGGATTGTACTTATTTAGGTTATGCTTTTGTGTAAGGATCCAAGGTGACTAGCCATAATTGTACTGGCTCTGTTTGGTACCCAGAATTGAACAGTAATAATGCCTCATGAAGTATCATCAAGCTGCCTCACATGTCATGTTTAGATGTTAAGAGATCACAGACAGAAGTCTATTAAATGTGGATTATGGCACAGCTGGACAACTATCAAACAGCAGTTAGGATACAGGTAGTACTGTGAGTTCATATCTACATTAGCAAACATCTATCCCATAAAAGATTATGGGATACAACTAGTTTTCAATCAAAAAAAAAAATAATGAAATTTTACTTTGGTTCACTAACAAGCCCACCTTCTCTGCCACTGGTAGCCATGCTGAACCAGTTTCAGAGAAGGGCAATGAAGCTGGTGAAGGGTCTAGAGCACAAGTCTTATGAGGGGAAGCTGAGGGAACTGGGGTTGTTTGCCTGAAGAAAAGAAGGCTGAGGGGGGACTTCATCACTCTCTACAAAGGATGTTGTAGCAAGGTGGGTGTCAGTCCCACTCCAAACAAAACCAAACAGAAAAAGGAAAGTAAAAGTGTGGGGATTTTTTTTTTTTTTGTTTTGGTTTTGGTGGTGTCTTTTTTTTTTTTAAATTAGGACTTGTGGCTGACATTTTTTTCAGAAAGCAGCTTTTGTCTCCTTTATCCAAGGTAGCGGTGAAACAGGACAATCCATGTTATGGAAAAGCCTAGATAAAAGTAGGTACCAAGAGTCATTCTGGTGAAGCATGTGAATGAAAGGCACTGGAGTCAGCCTGCTTTCTGCTCGGTTGGAGTTGGCTCTTCACAGGGACAGCCAGGTCAGAACACCTCAGTAGTTCAGACATTCAAAAGTGACTGTACTGCTTCAAAGTGCCATCATGAGTCCAGAGCAGTAAAGCTGCATTCCTCTACTGCTTCACTCCACACAAATCTAGTTCTTCAAACACATGATTAATCTACAACTCATACAACCACACAAATGACCAGGATACAAATGCTGCTTGTTTTTTTTGAAGGTCATAGCACTTTTTATGGGCTTCAGAAATATACCATTTAGCTCAATAGACCACAGGACAGAAGTTTCGAAACATATTTAAATGTACTCTTTTTCTTTCTAAACTCTAACTCAACACTGCTATTTTTTCTGGTAAAGGCAAGCCTGCCAATACCAACTTTAAAAGGTTTTCACTCCTTAACTTCAGCTGTGGTCTAGAAACTATTTTTGTATTAGCTCTCAGAAATCAATACTAGTTGTATTATGGATATCAGAGTAATTAAAATATTAATTAAAGTATTACCTTGTCCTGAGAGGTTTTATTTTTCTCATACATGACCTGTATCTTTTAACGTAAAGAAGGTGACATGACCTGAACTTTCAAGCTCTGTGTGTGCACATCTGTGTGTATAGACAACAAGGAGGAAATAAACTTTGAAGTTTTTCCCCTCCTTTTTGCTTTTGGCAGTTGGCAACATTTACAGTGACATGTGGAAGAAGCAATTGATTAGTTCTGCATGTACTGCTTTCAATGCACTTACCAGTGTCATCATCAAAGTCAGAAAGGATGCACTCAATACCATCCTCACTGCTGGCTGACTGTTCCTGCACTCTTCGGGGCAAGTTAACCAGCCGGCCACTGAGGAAGATGGGTTTCAAGGGCATTTTATAGATTTTGGCTAATAACTTGGAGGGGGGAGGAGGAAGAGAGAGGGAAAAAAAAGAGATGAAAAAGTAAATATGTATGGGAAAGTTTGTAAAAGCTGTTACACACAACACATATATACAATAAAAGCTTATTACTGTTACTTACTGACTGCACCTATGACCTTAGAAGCTCCATCAGCTGTACACAGAATATTTTGGAGCTCTGGAGGACTAAGTAAATAATGATAAAATGACCTGTACAGGTTTACTTCAGAGCTTCATTGCCTGGATTGTCCATTTAGCAACACACACTTTGTAGAACTGTGGTATAGCTGGGAAGCTACCAGTATTTTACCAGACCTTTCTAAAGTAAATGATGCATTCGCAATATACAGACAGGATTTCTTTTTTAGTCATTCCTGTTGTTCTTCCAAGATATAACAAGATAAAAAATGTCTGCTTCTTTTAAAGAGGAGAAAATATTTCTGCCTCATTGTGAATTGGGTTTTGTAAGGATGAGGAAGGGTGATGTGATGCATGTAGCCATAGACAGAATATACATTACATAAACAGATAGGTATTCACTAAATTTTCTTAGATGAACAAGATAGCCAGTACAGATTGATACGTCTGCTGTTTATTATTCTGAGCTGCCTCATTCTTTTCTTCTCTGCTCAGTCTGTACTGAATCCATCCATTATCTCTGAAGTTAGATATTAAATCCTTTCAGCTATGATAATATCCTTTGTTACGCATTTGTATTGTATCCAGAAGAAACATGGCCTGGGTCCAACAAAAAGACCTGTAGGTGCTACAGAAATACAAACATTATAAAATCAGCAAAACCCACCCTAATAACCTTGGATAATGGTCTGCACTGTGTGCAAGGAGATTACAGGAAACATGCCAGCATTCTAATTCTTAGAGATCAGCCCTGAGCTTCAGATATGTTTTAATGGTACAGATAAGCTGCTGCTGTGTTATAGAGGGTGTAACCTGTTGCTCTTCAGATCTGAGAATTCTTGATTGGATGGTTTGTTTGGTTTTTTTCTGCCTTCATTCCAAACACTGTTTACAGTTGCTGTTTCAACAAGAATGAATGTAGCTTTGGGTATGTTACTGCTAGGTTTTGAACACTCACATTTTCCCACATGCTCCTTGGGTCTGCGTGTTTTTAACTCCTCCGTTTTAGGTGGTCTAGAAGGTATGAGATTCCTTCAGATCACCACTCTCCAGTGCAGGTTATTACCACAAAGTCTGGAGGTTACAACTGTTTCCTAGGCCAGGTTAGTACCCATTCACCATACCTGAGAACATCTCCTGAGGTAATCAAGCGCGGGAAGGCACAAGTCTGTAGATGCAGGTCCTGATCCTGGCACACAGTCACCCATCTCCTTACAATCTACTTCCCCTGGGGACAGGAAAGGCAGCATTGGGAAGGACAGAAATGAATCAAACATAGCATTAGGTTTCCATTTTCATTCAGTTGTGCCCTAATGTCTGAGTAGAATCCAAAACCCATCCTTTGTTTGATATTATTAGATGACAACCAGATGATCCTCATACAAACAGTACAGTAATATTGGTCACAGTTTATACATGGACTTTTATATGAACAAAAGCTTTAATAAATACATGCCTATTTCATAACTCTTTAGTAAAGTCTTTGAGAGTTCTTATAATCATACCTTATAGTCACCTGTCATATTGACCCACTCCACTTTTTTCCATTGTTGTATAAATTACTTGCCCATATTCACCCTTTGCTCAATTAGTATGCTCCATTTTTCTATTCATTTGCACCCCAGTGCCCTGGAAAATTCTTCTACCAAAAGTTCTTCCTTTTAGTTTATTAAATACAGCATTTTATATTTTGTTCTACAATACTTCCTTTTGCTGTCTAATTCAGGTGTGAAGGTCTCACAATTTCAACTCTATGACAGCTCCAGGCTCTGGTGTCTCAATATCATGGGTATTACTAATTCTGTGGCATCAGCAGACTCCTGCTTTCAGGTCAGCTTCATCAAGTGTACTAAACAAGCCGATCAGTTCCAAGGTATCCAAAGCTCCTTCCTGAATAACTCCATTCACTCTAACATTTTCCTTGCCTGCACAGTCTGTTTTCTTCCCCTCTCAGCCAAAGTTCTGCCCACTCTAGAATATTTGGCTCATAATAATTTTTCCAGTTTCACCAAATACTTCCCATTCAGTTCCAGATCTGAAGCTTTACTAAGTGTCCATACGCATTAACATTTTGTTGCCTTAAAAGCTATTCCTCTCATAAGAAACCCCACAAGATAAATATGAAATCCTTTTATTAAATCCTACTTTATTCTCCTTTCACTACATTTACTAGCCTTTTCTATGCCCTTAACTATTCCCTCCATAATGTATTTTAAAGTCTTGTATGCTATTGAGATCACCCAAGTCAGCCAGTGAAGTTGGAATCCTTTTGTTTTATGCTAAAATGCACATAAATGGTAATATATGTGCTATTCTTTAGTATTGAAGTATCCCATAGTCCTATCACCTTTAATACAAAAAAAAAAAAATCTTGCTTCTTGACACTTGACCATGAAGTGTGGACAGACTTATCTCATAAAAGTAAGAAACCTAAAGAAATATAAGACAGGCTTTTAAATTCTCCAGAAGGAATATGAGTTCCCTCTACTGGCACTGGGCATGCAAGATGCAAGTTTGTTTCTCTTTTGTAGTAATAATTACAATTCCAGTCTGTCAACACAAGCTGAATTTTGCCCCTGCTGAAATTGATAGTAAAATAGCTTAACAAGATGAGAGTAGCATTAAAGACTAGATCTGCTGCAGTTAGGTGTGTCTTTTAAATCAAAGTCCCTTACAGACCCAGATACCTCTATGGATTTTACCACTCATTAGAAGTTTTGCAATTACATAAGGAAGAAAAATATCATTGCCACAGTTCAATAAAAAGTGTCAAATTCTATTGATCATGGCAAGACAGGGAACACAAATGGGGCAGAATGATCCAACACCATTTGCCTTTGTTCTGAAGTTTGGTGAAGCACCGCAATTACACTGCAGAGTCACATTGACCTGACACGCCTGGGCTCCACTGCCCTCAGTAAAGTAACGAAACACTAGCCATGGGGACAGAGTGTTACTGGTTGCCCTGCTCATGATCCTACTGGAGGTTCAGCCGGTTTTCAGCGTTGTGTATGCCAGACTACTGCTGCTGAGGTGGGCAAAGGAAGAAAGGACAGACAAAAAGCAAGTCCTAATGCAAATTAGGATCAAATGGAGCAGACATTTAATAGAGAGATGCATCTTTGCTGCTATAACAACTTGAAGAATTGATAGCATTAAAAGCATTTCTGCAATAATACCCTGGTCTTTATTTTAAGCATTCTGGACTCAATTTCTTCACTGCCTCTCTCTTCCCTACTATACTGTGTATTATAAAACCAAATTCTACTCTTCTGCAGGATCAAGTTTGACATATCGCTACTTAATAGGATAAAAAGAAAGTAATAAAAATATTTACCCAGTCCTTTGACAAACTTCATAAGGCACATAATATAACTGGTGGCAGCATTGGCAAAGACCTGGATGCTGTCTGTGTTTAGAAATGCTTCAAAGACATCAAACACTGGAGCCTGGCGTTTCCCTGTGAAAATAACAAGATGAGAACTCTTCCCCATGCCCCATAAAGCTGATTTTCTAACAGTTTTTCAACAATTTAACTGAATCTGTAGAACCTCTTGTATTCAGCAGAGACAGAAATTATTTTATAAATAAAACTTTCTATTGTTCCTGAGGTAATTTGTGTAGCCCTTAGGAGAAAGTAACACAGACTCCCTGCTTTGCCTTATCCGTGAAAAATAGCAGCTTATGCCTGCCCAAATAGCAAGAGCGGGCTTGAGCTCTTGAACTCTGCACAGTAGCTAACACTTCTGTTTGGTGGAGGCTTCTGGTTTAATTCTTGGTAACTTCCAAGATGACAGCAGTCACCCTGAAAACTATTCAGACTATAGAGTAATAAAAAAAAGCCTTACTCTTACTTTTCCTAAGTATATTATCGGTGTGAAGTAGGAAAACCATATCCCTTACATGTGACTAGTAACATTTAAAAATACTAAAATACTTTCTAATAAGGAAAAAGAACAGCTTAAAGCGATTTTCCCATATTACCCAGTTTCCACACAAGCAAACATTTCTGTGAGAGATGCAGAATCACTCTTCCAGCAAACATGGTTTGAAATAGTGCTAGTAATTTGCAGCCTTGAGGTTAAGTGTCTCAACAAGCACTTGCCTATCCCACTAAGTTACGCTCATGTGTAAGAGCAACAGGTTTTACATAGTAAGAAAGACAGGCCACATGAGACATGGTGGTTCTATATAGCATGCTTTCCTTTCTCTAGCAGGACAGTAGCAAGAGCCCAGCCAAGCTCAGTACTCCTGCACTACTGTTTTGCTCAAACATAAGCAAGTATTAATGAAAAAATTCAAAAAGGAAGAAAAAATTCAAGTAGGTTTGAAGCATTTCTTCCTCATTCTACTTGTCTGCCAGAATCTAGAGGATAAAAAGTCAGAATAATACCTCTTTTTCCCTCCCACACCAGCTAATAAACCAGATACTTCAGTAAAGTCCTGGAGTATTGCAGTGCCACTGCTAAGTGCCACTGTTCAGGTAGGACATTTAAAAATATTAAATTAGTTATTGCATCCCCAAGGAATAAGATAGGGAAACAAAAACCCTATAAAACAGTGCAGGAAGTCCTTACCCATAGAGTATTCTCCCACAAGATACTCCTTAACCTCTGACTTGCTGCTGCTGTGCACTGTTTCCAGGGCACTGAACAGGGGTCTCCATCCTGACTGGATCTGGGTAGAACACATTTCCACCAACTCTCCTATAGAGGTGACCACCTGTAGACAGTATAGGAGAGGTTAAAAAAACAAAGCCAACCCCCAGAACTGATATATAAATAGACCTTCAGAAGGAATGAGGATGGCTTTAAACACATTCCTAGATTTCACTAAGTCAGTCTAGACCCACTCACTAACTTTTTTTTTTTTAGATAACAGAAAAATTCTATTAAATTGTTTTAAAAGGTGGTGTACTGTCTCTGTGCTCTACCACAATGCTGGCTTAGGTAGGCAGAGCCCTCCTGATTCCTTGAGATGATTAAGGGGCACCATTTGAAGGGAGTTTGGGAAACAATCTCAAGTGGACCAAGCACACTCTGGAGACCATCCTTCTTGTGGGCACGGTAGGCCAGATGCAGACACACTATATTCAGGGCTGACTTGCCTGGTCTTGGACATCCTCGTCACACAGCTCTAGCTGCATGATACGCTCAAAGGGGCGGAAAAGTGCCTCATTAAAGTGAAAATGAGAAGGCTCATTCCAGTCCGTCAGCACTTCAGTGAGGATGTCATGGATGAAGGAGACAGCCTTCCGAGACACATGTCTCTCCTTGTGACAGGCAGCCTACAGGGAAAGGAGGAGCATTAGAGTTTGTCCAAACAAAAAATTTGCCTTTAGTAAGACACTTTTAAGAGAGGTAAGCACTTCATGTTGCTGAACCCTAAAAACAGCTTCACCACTAAGCGATTTAGGAACGCCACTGCAACGAAAATGGGAGAGTACTGCCATAGAAACAGATGGCTGAGACTCTTGAGCTGCTTGGAGTCCCACAGATGCATGAAGGTTTGCTGACAATTGAAAAAGCACAGCTAAAAATAAGTTAAATAACAAAACCTACAGAACAGACATGTGTGAAATGTTGTCTTTTGTTTCTACTGTGTGACCATTTTTTCCTTCAAAAAGGTAGTTCCTGCATATATTCGCCTTACCTATCCATGCGTGACCAAATGTCACTTTTTATTTGGCTGTTTATAGAATTTAGAATTAGAAGGTTATCATCACTTTTGGAAGAGCTATTAAAAAATTAAGCAAAAGTGAACCTGGATATAAAGGTACTGTTTCGAGGAACTACACAGGTTATGCTAAATTATGTCCTTTCCCTCATGTTTCTCCTTTCCAGTAGTGCCCTCGTCTGCACTGAAGTCAACCAAAAAGACTGAGCATCTCTGTATTCTAAAAACATGGAAGATACTTGAGTTTAAACTGGCTTGGGATCTTAAAAGACTTAAAAGCGTTCAAAACATGACAAGCCTTTAAAGTGGTCTCAGGCTGTCATCCAAAGATGAGACACCAGTTTTTGAGATAAAGGGATGTTAAAGAATACAACAGAACAATTCTCTGCTATTTCTACTTCACTTAGAAGGATTCCACAGAGACTCCCCAATGTCTGAACTCCTCTATAAAACAGCCCACACATTTTCTTGAGTGAATGAAATAAAATGCTATGGCAATTTAGCAAACAGCTCATCTTAAAAGAAGTATGCTCCCAATAAACCTGGGCAGATGACACCACATACCTTACTGACAGAAAGGATGTACTGCACATTTATTTGCAGTAATGATACAAATTAAAAAGCTCTGAGAAGTCACCCACCAGTGTTTCACCAGGTAAAATTAAAAGCTTGTCTGAGGAAAGGTCATATGTTATGGCTGAAATCCATTACGTGGCTGCTATTAGCATGCCACTGACCAGGGTTCACCAGGCAGGAGAAGGAAATGGAAAAATGTCACCATCTTCCCAGCTGAGCTGACTTTATGTGGAAAAAACCCCACAACCTGCATCCTTTTATGGGAAGACTTGCAAGGATGCAGACCTAGGCTGGGAAAATAGGTAGATCAAAGGAGTTACCCATAACCTCTTGGGGTGGTTTCAGTTTTTTCACCACAGACACACAGGAAGTAGCATACTGCAAAATCCAACACACAATCACTGGACCTGCCCATTTCAATTATGTGAAAGCATTCTCTTCAGTAGCAGTACTGATATAATAGATTGCACATCTGCTGCTAGCAGTCATAGTTATTGTACATACTAGGAACTTGAACACAGGTTAAGCTGACCTTCCCTAACAATAAGAAATTCATGAGTAAACCCAGGACTTGGTTCTGTTTAAAAGATCAAAGGAGAACATCCAGGATTGATTGTACCAAGGATAAGTTATTTGACAGCCTGGCAAAGTGACTATTCAATTAATCAACTTGGCAATGAAACTAAACTTTAAGGTGTCCTGAAGTGAACTGCCTTCATTATAATACCAAATATCACACCCACAGGTCAAAAAGACCCCAGCCCAGGTGAAGACTTGTCCTCTGAGCATGCGTAGTGATTAAAAGGAATGACAAAGCAAATATTGTATGTTGATTACTGACCAATTACTGGGAGCACACAACCTTGTAACTTTTGTAAGCTGACATCAGGTGTGCTTGATTTGTGGAAAAGTCCACCCAGCACCCAGGCCTGAATAAACACAGTATCTCTCCTGAGCTTCTGGAATTGGTTTACTGCATGCTAAGTATGAACATGCTTTTTGGACAACATCACAACATGTGACACACTATATACATTACCGCAACAGGAGTCTAAACAGACACATTCCCATTCTTTCCCCCACACCTACCTCTACAAGGTGGGGTGCCACCAGACTCCAGCAGCGCATAAGGTGGAGCAACGGGCGAGATTTACTCCTTACGATTCTGAGCATGGCATCACCAAGTCGGAACAAATGAAGTGCACTTCTCCTGTCCTGGGTAGACTTCACTTCACCTACAAGGAAGTATGAGAAAATAAATAGAAGCTAAGCAATAGCTGCTCCTCCATCTCTAGAGGTCTAAATTGGAATTTAAATCAGGTTAGAAATGATTAAGTTGGGGGTGGGAGGGTAGTGGAGGAATAAATAATAATAATAAAAACAATGTTTAGGTTTGAATTGCAATGCAATTCAACTGAACTGAATTTTAATGCAATACCTATGCCTGTGTAGGTAAAAGAACAGATGGATCCAAGTTTTAAAGAAAAAGTCTTGGAGAAACAGGGCAAAAGTTAACCAAGAAATTAAATAATTGATGTTAAGACCCAAAAGAGCAGTTGCAAAAACCTTTGGTGACATCTACAGGAAAAAATACAAACTGCAAATTATTTAGTTTTGATTTGTCCTTTTTTATTTCTTCTCAAGCAAAGGATACAGAGCAAAGAATGTCAAAAACCACTTTTCTGTTCCTCAGCCAGTAATATTTATTATTTCCTATTGAAAGGGATTAATCTTCCATTGCTCTTACAACATTTGAAAAGACACCTCATTCTCTCATTTAAAATACACTGGTGCTTTTATCTTTAACGTAAGACATAATTGGGGGCATACCACTTTTAATATATATTAAAAAAGCCATTACATGCTCTATCCTGATTTTTACATACATGATAAGAGGATCACTATTTATTAGAAATAAAACAGTAAATGCAGAGGCCTGGAGACAAGAGAAGTGCTTGTCATATTGAGAAAATGACAAGTAGCACTTCGCGAAGGGAGGGAAACCAACTACACTGAAGACATACACCAGGTAAAATCCATGCCTGACACAGGACAAAACAAAACCCATATGACTAATGCGACTTCTAAAGGCACAATATAAATTTAAGTGAAATATACTCCTTCAGGTTAAATCCTTCTACTCTATTTGACACAGTGATGGAAATGACAATTTACAGGCTTTGTACTGTAAGGTATATGGGTCCACTCGCTTGGGAAGAGAAAGCAGGACAAATCCCACTGCTTTATTTAATATTCTCCAGCTGTGTGCTTTGTTTGCTGTCACCCATTTTCTGAACACTTCTGAGGATATCCCACTGTCAAATGACTAACCTAAATCCACTCTCTTAAGTCTACGTTCACCCAAGTTACAGGATCAGGTTCCAAAATGGAGCTCTGATAAAATATCTGTGTATAATTAACACTCCCGAAGTCCAAGAACCAAATGAATGCCCTCTGAAATGTTTCATAGCAGGTGTGGATGTGATCTCTGTCCAAAAAAAAAGAACTCAACCTTTTCTAAAGACTGAATTGGTCCTACAGAAAGATCTTCTTAGACTAAATACTGTGGTTTATGTATAACTTGAAATTTCAACCAGGAAATTAAAACTGGAAGAATACAAAGCAAGTTCTATAAGCAGTTCAGGTGTATATGAAACACAGAACTCTGTAAGAGATCTTCAGTCAATTTACCTGGCATTGCTAGAGAGTAATCAACTGTATCTGTGACTGAATGGAAAAGCTGGGCCTGAGAAGCCTTCTTGAGCTGGTAAAGGAAGCCTGCCAGTGCCATCAAGTTTAACTTGTCAGCAGCATCTTCAAAGAGCCTGTAGTAAAAGAACAGAATCTAATTGAAAAATTAATGAGATGAACACTTAAATATGTATCTAAGAGGAAAACCCATATCTGTATATGGCTGCTATGTGTTGCCTTTGGTGACACATAGGGTTATTTTCATTTACATGATGCCTTAGAAAGTCTTTGATCCAGAAACTTTAATTGGACGGTGGAAAGTAGGGTGCTCTAGGACCAGCCAGACACCTTCGAAAATTCAACTGCGATACTAAAATAGAAAGTCACTTTTTAAAGGAATTGATGCTTTCCCATTACTGTATCTTAATGCTATAAGCAGTTCATGAACCAGTAATCAAAAAACCATCAAGAATATGCCCAGTCCTCACATCATATATCATCACAGCTTCACTAACTTTGGAGTTGCACCAGTTTGCTCCATCTGAAATTACATCCCTTTACGTACAAAACAAATTAATTCAAGTCTTAGACCTAAAGTTGCTGTACCAGAATTGCTTTTGGAATATAAGCAAGAGTTGTTATTTTCAGCTGCAATGAGCTCTTAAGATTTAAGACTTAAAATCTGTACCCTTAAACCAGTAAACATGTTTATGTAGGAGGTGGGTTCCAGAGAGATTACAGTGAAGTTTCACATGGTGCAGCCAAAAGTCAACACAAATACAATTTTCTGACCTTGCTTTTCATGAAATACTTTCTATAGTCCTAGAAAATTGGGACTGAGTCCTAACAAAATCCACACTGAAGTAAAAGTGCAGAAATTGAGCCTGCATCATTAAAATTACAGTACTGCTATTCTCTAATCCTTGGAAGTAAGTTGTATTGTGAGCTTCCTAAATAAAAGGTACTTCCCAGGCACAAACTCCTATAAGCAGTGTCAGTATGCATTGCTTTTTCCCTGAATTTACAAATATCATCCTCCTGTGGGCAGAGAAAAAGAATGTAAAATGTCATCTGGAAATAAAAAGATTATTAGAAGCACGTAAACCCAGGAAATTTTCAACTCTTGCCTGAGCTGTTGAAAGAATAGCAGAAATAGTGAAAATGTCTGCAACATATTGGTCTGCAAACTGTGTTTTAGAGACATTTAACCTAGCCATTCTGTGACCATGCTTGGTGGTCCTTTCTCCTCCAGTACCTGCAGGTCTTTTAGGAACTGCTGGTTATGCAGCACTTTTGTGAAACTCAACTGAAGCGAGGGGCTGCAACAGACAAAGATCAGTCCCCATTGCACCACAAAAAGGTCCCTTTTGGTCCTGTTGTGGGAACAAAGCTTCTGGTTCCTGAGAGCATTTTTACCTGTCAGCTTGTGTAGACAGCGTGAGGACAGCCTTGGCAGCACTGGTCCCACACAGCAGGCTGCCTCCGCGGAAGTCAAAAGCTCTGCCCTTACTGCTCTCCTTGATGAGTTCCTGGATAGAAACTGGCTGAATGACAGGATTATTGCTGAGGGTGGTCTCCTGCTCAGGGGTTAGCGTCTGGGCAGAGTCCCCAGGATCAGAGTCTGCGTGCTGCCCTCCAGGTGCCTGCTGTGACTGGGTGATGGTAAGGGAGGGCTGGGAAGCACCATCACTGAAGTGGGTGTGCTCCAACGTGCTGATGTACTCACATACTCTGCGAACAAACAGAGAAGAAAAAGATTAATAAAACCCCCAAAAGAACACCTCCTTCCCCCACAAATCACCAGGCTCACTGAATAAATGTGTACTCCAGAGGTGAGTCAGAAGGACAGTGCAAGTACAGCTCCCAGCTGCTTCACAGCCCCATCACTGTGAGAAGCCAGCTGACATTGTAACCCACTGCCAACTTGCAGGCACCGATTTCTGCATGTGAACCAGGTACGACACACAGGACATTTTCCTCAAACCATAAACAGACAATCTCTAAATCTCAGACATAGAAAACCTGTCTTCTTACATCCTTTGGCCTCCTGTATGCCTAGACAGCAAGTAGTTTAGTGAAGAAGCCTGAAAATCCCATTTAGGTTCCTGCGTCTGCCAGACTCTTCCGGTAACTTTAAAGTTTCTAAGCATTGATTTTGTCTCCGAATAGTGGTGGAAAACAAAAACATCTTTTCTCTTACGCAGTTGCAGGCAGTTAATTCACTCTGACACTGTTTATACAGAACACTCCCAGAGCACATAAAGTCCTTTTTCTCAGCCTGTTATTTTCACGCAACATGGTATAAATTCAGTTTCTTTTGAGAAACCTGGTGAGTACCTGAATACATGAGGCCAACAGTCCTGATTGTGGCTTCCCATCTCCAGGCCCACATTAAGGACTGCATCCATACACAAAACATGAGCAGTGTGCAGGCACACTCCCTGTACTTTCCCCATCTGTTCCAGTTTCTGCTCCACTTTCTGTTTCACTGCAGCATGAAAAAAACCCAACAAACAATCCACATTAGCATCTCCAGCTATTAAACACTGTTTTGTATATAGGATAATGACAAAGGTATACAGTCTGAGAGCTATAAAAGAACACGGATGTTAGACAAAAAATAAAACAGAGAAACACATTTCTCGCTAAGAAACGTAAGGCAGTTTTAAAATGAAAAATCCTTTTTGACTGATCCTATATGCATGAAAAATAAAAAAATGAAAAAAATCAATGCCAGATTGACAACCTCCACCCCCAAATTCACATCTCATTGCCCACAGAACAGATGCAGATTGCTAGTGGTATTACATGCTTCTCTTTGGAGCTGGCTGACTGAATATTTATTTATTTTTACCAAAAATCTCCTTTGCTATGGGAAAAAGAAGAAGAGATTGTGTATTTCACATCTATTTCCATACAAAAGTTTCAGAAAAAAAGTTTTGTTATTATCGATACTCTTGACAAAGCAAAACTAATCCTGGTCCGAACTACAAGCATTTGGACCTCATTCTTTTTCCTGAGAATCTCTGAAAAGCTTAGTTTTCATGCTGCATTGGAATGGAACCAAATTTTGAAGCTTTGCAAGCTTTTACATAACAGATCTGTTGGCCTCTGGCCACTGCTACTGCCTCCTCTTTGCTTCACCGTGGCCTGGCCAACTCACTTCAGACCTATCTAGCAGAGTAGTCAAAAGCTAGTTTGTGCTCAGGCCTACTCAGTTTTGTTTTCTCTACTGAGACATTAAATTTAAATGCCAAGCAGGGTCATTTGTGCACCACTATGTTTTGTTATGGGCTTCTTGCCATTAGAAATCAGGTGTCATCAGATAAATTTTATGTGCTTCTCCAAACAGCCATTGAAGATGACAACTGACTTTGTTCAGACTTCCACTGGTTTAGAAGTAGTGGTATAGAGATACAGAACTTTCTATATGTTATAAATATATATATATTTATTATTATTTCA